AAAAGGTGTGAAATTGGGCCAAAATCGATCAAAACCATGGGCTATAGTCCATGCTTTTTGACTGAAAATGGCCAAAAATGACCAATTTTATAACCTTCATAAATAATGCATTATTTTCAAAAAGGTGTGAAATTGGGTCAAAATCGATCAAAACCATGAGCTATAGTCAATGGTTTTTGGCCGAAAATTGCCAAAAATGATCAATTTTTGTTATTTCAAAATTAGTAGTAGTAGTAGTAGTAAACTTTATTATGAAGAGGAAATCGGAATTGCAGAAAAGTGTACCTGTCTCTTACGGGTCTAACAAAAATATAGAGATATATTACAATAATAAAAGGTAATCAAACAAAATTAAACAAAAAATACAAAACATCATGAAAGATAATGAATTGGAGGGTAATATTAGATACAAATTACAAATTTGTATAATACATTAAAGGTATTCAAGTTTTGAAGAAGGCTTGGACCAAGACATACATGCGGGCATGTATAAATAATGCGTATTATTGAAAAGGGTTGGGTTAAAATTGATGCATTGTTATCGAGGTTTTTTTTCTTCATTGTTTAGTGCAATTTTGAAATATACTTGGCTTGTTGCCCACAAGGGTTTCAATGCAAAGCTGCGTGAATAATGCTTAGTGGTTCGTGAAAGGAAGGAGAAAAGAATAAATTTAAATTTATCCGTAGCCTCGTACTGAAACCTTTGTGTGTGATAAGCGAAGTATATCTCTGAAGATGGGTATTGGATAAGATTTTGGAAGATTTAAAGACCCGTAATGGAAGTGAATAGACTTAAACATTGTTCATTTAGAAGACGCTTGGCGCATGTTTATTGATATCTTTTAATGTGAGTAAAGGTGCTTAATCTTCTTAATTTACATGTATAGTTCCTTGTACCCAGTACTTCAGATCCATCATGTCAGCGTACACACCATATCTGTTCTTGCGCGCGCAGCCGATTCCCCAGCTAATGGCGCCCATTAGATACCAAGTATCCCCAGTCCTACAGACCAGCGGTCCGCCACTATCTCCTTGACATGCGTCGATCCCGCCAATTCCATTACCGGCACAGCGCATGCGTGCTGTTAACTTGTAGCGAAGATCATCATAGGATTTTTGACAAACACTTCGTGAGACCAAGGGAACCATTGCCTAGAAATATATCAAGATATTTATTAATTTCTGAAATAGATCTGCATGGTTTACCTTGTGCAGTACCTATGGTCCGTGACCTGACTCAAAGAGATGTCCCCATCCACTGATGTACCAGTTAGTCCCTTACCTGGTGTAGTACCCATGGTCCATCATGAGCTTTCAAAAAAAAGATGTCCCCATCCA